TTGTATTAAGCGTCGCGTCGAGGAACAAATTATCCAACAAATCCAGCTTCATATACTTCGATATACATAATCGTTAATTGTTTATCGGTTATCGTGAATCTTGAATCCTTAGCAATTAGTTTTTAATTCGATTTTTTTTTTTTTTTTTTTTAGCAATTTACTGGCTTGTCTTTTGAGCAAAAGTCTCAAAAATATCTCGCTTTTGTTTGCATTTCGTTTCATTTATTTTGACCACAAAAAAAATAACAAAATTAATACACATGACCGAATTAATCAAATAATTATCGTAAAAATAAGGTGGACAATAATTAATATGCTACTTTGTAATAAATCTAAATGGTTCTCTGCGCTTTGAATTTTCCACATCGATTGTATAAAAAATCTTTGGCAGCATCTTTATTTAAAAGTTCGTCCTTCAATCGCTTGATTTCTCGATTTGATCTCGCCAATTCTCGACAATACATAAAGAATTTATAATAATTAAAATAATAATAATAATTGTAATAATAATAGTAATAATAATAATATACGTGTTTGGATTGGGAATAAACATAACTATATCGAGTGATTGAGAAACATGTGTGGTGTTCTTGTTGTCTGTGTAAATTTGGATATTTCCTAATAAGTTGTAAACGTTTCACATTCGTTTTACTTTCGCTGAGTTACAGTAAAGTTACAATGAAGTAAAACCATAAAGTACGGGAATACGAATCGAAAGTTAATGTATATATTGGATACAAATGTAGCTAAACTATTGATGTATAGAGTTTGAGGTGGAAAGCTTTCACTTTGTCACATTTTACAGCGTAGGCGACTAAGAATTCATTCATTTCTCACTTTCATTTCGCATTTCATCGTACACTTGTGGTTTCTATTGCTTTTATGCAGCTTCGGCATTGAAAACTAGAGCGCAGTGGGTGGCGGGGGGGCGGAGAAGGGGGTGGGAGGGCGGCCTTGGTCAATTTTTGTCAGTCGGTGTTAGTTGTTAAATGTTATTTGTTTAATGTTAATTGTTAAATGTTAAATGGCGTGTCCAAATCTGCGTGGAATCCTTTTGGTTCTAATTACTATTGCTTCGGTTTGGGTTTCGTTTCCATTCATTTCGATTTGGGCTGGTAATTAGAAGTAAGTAATTAGTAATTAGTAATTAGTATTTGTCGCTGACTAGTGGTAGTACCGCCCCTCTCCTGGCCACGCCCCCCTTCTGGGCCATTCGCTAATCGTACATAACTGTATACATAATACAAATATATACAGGTGTGTAAATATAAATATATGTATGTATATATATTTTAGCTAGAAATCCTATAGTTTATACGTAGTTAGTAAAATGTTATCGTCGTTAAGTTGCGTAATCTCAACTAAATTGTAAATTTGATTTAAACTTAAGCACATTTATGTTTATTTGGTTTTTCACTTCAAAAATTTGTATGCATAGGAAATAAATTTGTTGTTTTCGTCGTTTTGTGTGTTTGGTGTGGAAAAGTTGTTTGTTTTTTCATGTTTTTTTTTTGTTTTTTTTTTTCGTTTTCCTACTCAAACGCATCGCATAAAAATCATATACAATTTGACTTAATATCATTTGCTTATTCAACCTAAAACTTAAGTTAAAATTCATAATTTTCGTTAAAGCAACAATTGACTTTTTCCATTTTGTGGTTTCAACAAAGAGAGAGAAATAAAAATAAAACACAAAATTAATATAGTAAATGTAACCTCTTTATGTTGTGATCGTTTAGTTTATAAAATAAAAGCGTGTGGAATTACAATTTCATTTGAGGGCTCTCCATAAAAACTAAAAACAAATGTAAAATTGTATTTTTGTTTTTTTTTTTCTTGTTATTTCGTATTTCTATAACAGTTTTCGAGTTTGGTTTTCTTGAATAGGTTTTCACAGAAGTTAGGAAAATTCTGTTGACTAAGAAAAAGACAAAGAATTGGGAAACATGAAATTTAAATCGAAATTAAAAGCAATCAAGTAGCTTGTACAGCGAAGTGAAAATTAAAAGGTAAAAAGTAAATGGTATAAATACAAATACATATACAAATACGTTCAGGATTTAAAACAATTCTTTTGGTATACTTTGCATTTGAGTGTTTCCATTGTCTTTAGCAAAATGTTTCAACTTAATACTTCCGTAGTTAATGCAGCGCGACAAGATTAAAAGTATTTATGCGAAAATGGAAAGGAAGTTGTTCAGGTGGTTTAAGGAAAGGTGAACCGAAATTCAATTCAACAATATAACATTTGCTTTGGGGCCTAAGTTGTAATAAACGAAATGCGAAAACGTAATTAAATTAAAAATTATATATTTCAACAGCCAAATTGTTTCACAAAAAATTGCATTTTTTATCCTCTCTCTCTCTTTCTCTCTAGCTCTCTCGCTCTCTCTTTCGCTCTGGCTCACTACAATTTTTGCATTTGTAAGTTGCTCCGTCCATCAACCATAAACAACTTTGGGGTACATAGTGTTAAATATAATGTGTATAGTAAAATGGTCATAATTTCAGTGGTATAACATAAACAGAAGCGTTTCACATTGGTTTTCGGTAGTTATTGTTATTCATATAGATTACACTAAATCATAATCATGTATACAGAATTGTGTGTAGCCTCACAATGTAACAACAAATAAAACTAAACAATAATAATTGTAATGACAATAGTAAATGATTGTTAAGCAAATGGTTTGGGCTTACTCAATTATTGCCCACAGTCCACTTGCTCGGTATTTAGTACAACTCAACATTTAACATAGACCAAACGCGTTTTTGATGCCTTTGTGTCGTGTGTGATTGTTTAAACTAAACTTAAACTAGGAATTAAAATTAGAAAAATGACAAGATTTAAAACAGTTTTCTTTGCTCCGCGCCGCATTGTGGTACACAAATGCCAATGATGGGTCTAACATAATTATCTGCTGTTTAAAACATTAAAAAAGGAATCGAATCGTTTCGAACACAACTAACATGATATCATATTGTTCACAATACAAAGGATTCGTTCGTTGTTATGCATAATGTGTGGGTGTGTGGGTGTATGGGTGTATGGGTGTGTGTGGATGTCACTTGTTAATGTAGATGTATAATAAATGTGGTTGTTACAGCCTATAAAAAATAAGTTGCTTGCTTCGCTTTGCTTTCTCGCCGAACTTTGTCTAAATAAATCGCCACTTGTTGTTCTAACTAACGCCTCTCACATGATAAAATTCACACAATTAAAAAATGTTATTTTGTATATAGATAAATAATAATGTCTTGGGAGTAAACCAGCCTTATATTGTATTACAACGGGAAAGAAATGTTGCATGTATCCGTACATATATATCATCTTAAATGGTTGTCTATATCGTCCATATAAATCGTGAGTGTTTCGGGTGTTGTTTTTCTTTTCTTTTCTTTTGTGGTGTATGCGAGTGTGAGTGTGTGTGTGTGTGTGTGTGTACATATGTCGATTACATGCGCACTTGTTGTTATGTTGTTTGTATATTATGTTGTTGTATATAAGCAAAAGGAATATCGTTTGTTTGTTTTGTTTTGTTTTGTGTTTTTGCTTCTTTAACAATGTATATAAGAACTTAACGTATACATTTATCTCTGCTCTGTAGGTTTTCTCAAACGCTTTGTTGTTGTCTCTGCTGTATTTGTTATTATAGTTGTTGGCCTAATGCGATCTGCATTCGATTTGTTTGGTTTGTTAGCTTACAGATTAATTTGTATGTTGAGTTGTTGTCTGTATTTCACGTCGGATCTCTGGCGTGATGAACGCACTTAGTTGATACATATCGAATGTATTCTCTCGATCTCTGGGTATTCTCTGGTTATCATATCTGCCGTGTGGTGTGGTGTGGTGTGGTGTGGTGTGTTTGCCTCCATTTGTCCCGTCGTCCTCCGTCCCTCGCTATCCCTATATGCCTAACTCCCTACTCTCCTCGTCCTGCTTTGTATATTATATGGCAAAGTCATATAGTCATAGGATTTCACATATATGTTTAAGATATATATAGTTTTGTTTTGTTTTGTTTTTTATATATTCATATAGATTTTTATATAAATAGATATCACCTTATATAAGCAGCGTAAGGAAAAACCTAAACAGTTTTTAATTTTCTGAAATTGTATCTTAGTGTTTTGGTTTCAGTTTGAAATCGAAATAAACTACTTAGATTTCATCTTCTTCTATAATTATTGCCTGTACGCGACCTCTGATGACGCCCTTAACAAATTATTTACTTCCTTATTTGTTAGCAAAAAACCTGTGCACAAAAGTTGCACATTTTGCTAGATATACATAGATGTTGTATACTAGGTGTAGATATATATATGCGTGTTTCGTTTTTTTTCTTGTTTTTGTTTTTTAGAAAAAGATTCTGGAAGGGTATGCACAAAAAAGCTAATCGGTCGATATAACAATATATATGTCTATATAGATAATAAGTAACATGTAAAGTAGTAGTGTTCGTGTGAGTGGCGTGTGTGTGTATGTGTGTGTGAGTGAGTGTGTTATGACAATTTTAACAAGAACATAAATTCAATAAAAATAAATGAGTACAATCAAAAACAATTTAAAAAGAGCTTTTAAAAACGTTTTGAAAATATCCCAAGTTTTAATGTCGATTCTTTTTGTTTTCCCTCTTTTTTTTTTTTTGTTATTCGTTACGCTAAGTATTTTGTTTTGTTTTTCTTTGTTAAATTTGTTGATGTTTGTTTTTAGTAGTAGCGCTAATTGTTTTAAATTAGAGATCAAAAATAGTATTTGTTGCATTTTGTTTATCATTTGTTATTGGTTTCTTTGTTTCATACGGTTGCCGCGGCAACGTTTCTTATGTTTTGCATTAAATAAAATGTGTCTCAAGTCGAACGCATTGCACTTTCTTCAACTGCACTGCATATAGTGAGTGTTCAGCCGTAGATTTGACCAGCTATAAGAATTTGAACGCTGATAGAGACATACTACAGATAAACAGAAAAAGTAGGAGCTCGACACTTTCACTTGTTCGTAGTTCTTCATTCCTATTTAGTTCATTAGCATTCCCCACATTTTTCATTATACATACACCCCCATTTGGATAATCGCATCCGCTATCTGCTGTCGATAATGTCAATGTTTCAGCTTGTTGTGCTTATTTTTGCTTATCGCTCCCATTAGACGACTGATGTTGTTGCAATCGATGGGTGTTGATTGGTGTGGCTGTTGCTGTTGCTGCCAATGAGGCAAATGTTGCTCATGCTGCTTATCCTGCTCATGTTGTTCAGTTGACTGTTGCTATTGCAGTTTAGGGTATGTTGACTCTTTGCTAAGAGATTGAGGCTGGGGCTGCTATTGCTGTTGCTGTTGCTGTTGCAGATGGTGTTGCCGTTGCCGTTAACGTTAACGTTAACGTTGCTGTTGATGTTGTTGTTTGATTGCTGCTGACGTCGACATCCGTATATCTTGCCCGACGAGTATTTGTAGTTATATTTGTTCATATCGACTGATGGACGATTATTGCGCGCTTTGATTTGCAATCAGTGAACATAGAGGGTGTTCAGGACTAGAACATGATGATTGTTCTTTGCCAGCGTAACCACATAGCCCTCGGATGTGATTTTCAGTCCGCAGCAGCGGGAAACCTGCGAATGAATCATTGTTAGCTCATCACTCCGCAAATCGTTCGGTTCATAACCACATAAAGACTGCTGTGAAATTCCAAATTTGTTATGCAAAATTCAAAATGTCTTCAAAATTCATTTACCTATGCTCTATGCTACGGCTAACTACAACTGCATATGGCGACTCACCTTCACATGGGGACACTCGAACTCGGACTGAAGGACGCCCTCGCGGGAATAGCAGGCGACGTGGAAGCGATTGCCGTGCGAGTCGCCGATGAGCACGTCCCCGGCATTCGATATATCAATGCCATTGGGGAAACAGGTGACCTTCTCGTTGCCAATGCGATAGAGGAATGTGCCGTCGTCCTGGAAAACGGCCACGCAATGGCCTTTGAAGTCGCACACGTAAAAGTCGTTGTCTGATGGGTACAAGGAAAAATCCAAAGAGTGTTAAATTATTTGAAGAACTCATCTTCGAGATGGAGTGGTTGCTCACCTCGTATGGCAATGTCGGAGGGCTCGCGCATGTAGTCGCTGCAGTCGAACCAGCGAACCAATTCGCCCTCCTCGGAGATCACAAACACGGTGGGCGACACGCTGTCCACGGCCACGATGTGGCCCTTAGCTGTGACAGCCAAACCCGCAACGATATCAATGTATCTGTGAATGAATACAAATATTATAATTTCGCAAATGGTGATTACAAAGGGAGTTTTTTCTTGAATGTACATATATCATTAAATACCGCCTTGCTAATCTAATTACTATATATTTATATATATTTACCTGATGGCGATCTTGCGCATAAAGTGTCCGCACTTGGAGAAGATTTGCATGCGAGAGCGCTCGTTTCCACGATCGCAGACCACAAATTTTCCATTGTTATGCATCACGGCCACCTTGCGCGGATACCAGAGCTGTCCCTCCTCCTTGCCGGCCACACCGAACTGGAACTTGAGGGCGCCCATCTTGTCGAAGACCTCGATGCGATGATTGTTCGTGTCCGCCACGATGATCTCCTCGTCGACGCCCAGGCAAAATCCATGGGGTGAATTAAACTGACCCTTGGCGGTGCCCAGAGAACCGAATTTGCAGCGGATCTGCATCGGAGTGGCCTTGTTTCGGCCGGTAACCACACTGGTGGTGCCCGGCGTAGCAACGGCATGGAAGTTATTGAGTCCCATGTCCTCCACGCCACCCACGATTGGGGTGAGGGACTGCAGGCTGGGCGATGTGGCCGGTGGCATGCAGAAATCTGATAAATAATCAATGCCCGTTGAGGATCCGTTCAACAAAAGACCATCGCCTGTGTGTTGTGTATGGGATTTCAGGAGTTGTAGGTGGTGTTTTGGTATAGGTTTTGGTTTTGGTGTTGTGGGTGGTGTGGGGGTATGCATTTGGTGCAAGCAGCGAAAAAGAAAAAAACAACTCAAACGTGTAAGCAAACCGAAAAGTAAAACAAAGAGAAATCAACGCTTAAACTATCGGCTTTGAAAAAACTCACCATTGTTGTTCAGTCCCAGCTTGGCCAGCGCCTGGAGATTGTTGAGCGCCCTCTGGTCGCCCGATAGGATGTCCGCCAGGGTAATTGGCTGCGTGGGAGTCACCGCCGATGCCGGTATTACGGCCTGCGATTGCTGATGCTGCGCATGCGGTGCACCCACTACGGCTCCACCGGTAACGGCCGAACCACCAGGCACTTGGGCAACACCATTCGGACCGGGTCCAGTTGCTCCTCCTCCAACGGCCAGCGCATCGTTGAGGGTGTCTGGCATTGGTTCCGTCAAGCTGGCCAGTCGTGAGATATTGTACTCCAGCATGCTGAAACTGGGTGGCGGGCCACCGGCGCCCAGGCCATTGATGGATATGTTTGGGCCGGGACCAGCGTTGAGATTGACATGTCCAGCCTGCTGGACAATTCCCTGCTGTGCAACGAGCTGACCCATCTGCTGGGGCATCGACTGAGCCGATGGTGGCTGGTGCAGCACCTGCTGCTGTTGCTGCTGCTGCACCTGGTGTTGCTGGTGCTTTTGCTGCTGTTGCACCTGCTGCAGCACCGCCGCCTGTTGCTGCTGCTGTTGTTGCTGCTGCTGCTGAGACTGCTGCTGCTGCTGGGCAGATGGCAATTGCTGCTGCGAAGATGGCTGCGACGGCGAGTCCATCATGGAGAAATTGGTCATCACCGAGTTGGTGTCGCCATCAAAGGAACTCTGCAGTGAGGAGGGCAACGAGATGGGGCTGAATACAGCTGAGGTCAGGCGCCCTTGGACAGAGGAGCTGCCCCGATGGCCTACAATCAAATTGTTCGAGCTGTGTTGATGCTGCTGTTGTTGCTGCAACTGCAGCTTTTGCTGCTGCTGTTGGTGTTGCACCTGTTGCTGTTGTTGCTGCTGATGCTGCTGTTGCTGTTGTTGCTGCACTTGGTGCTGGTGCTGGTGCTGATGTTGCTGTTGTACCTGATGTTGCTGTTGCAACTGCTGGGTCATCTCTTGCTTCTTGGGACTAGAGTCACTCTGATCCGTTTGGAATTTGCCAAACATCTCCCTGGCGAATTGCTCGAACATCTCTGGCTTCGAGTCAAACTGCAGCTGATAGTTGACATCACACTTGGGCGTCTGCTCCATGAGATTCACGCACTGGGCACTGATGATGGGCTTCAGCAGCAGAAACTCTACGGCATTGGCCTTGTCGATAGCCCGCTGTCCGAATTGGGCAGCGTGCTGTAGCTTTCCCATTGTATTCTCCAAGCTCTGCATTAGATCCATGATCTTTAGCTCGCGATCCGAGTGCAGGCGTCCCAGCTCGTTTAACATCTGCTCCTTGATCGATTCCAGCATGCGCTTGTAGCTCTTGTAGGCTTCCTCGATTTGTTGGCGCACCGTATCGTGCTGTGACTGAAGTTCGGTGAGGGCACTGCCCAGATTGCTACCCGCATCGTTGCAATAGTCGGCCTTCTTGAGCGTGTCCCTTAGAGTGTCCTCGAGATCGGCTCGCACCGCCTGCTCCGCCACCGAGGCCGTCTCATAATGATGATCACTGCCCTTGTGATCGCTTAGCAGGCAATCATTGCACGTAGGCACCTGGCAGGTGAAGCAGTAGTACTTGAGATTCTCGCTTACGTGCTGACGACAGCACACTGGCTTATGAATGATCAGCTTGTCGTGGACGTTCTTCGTCAGATCCTCGATGCGCACAACATGGTGATTTTCAAAGCAACGCATATACTTATGGGCGTTATCGCAGCCATTGCACAGAAAGTTGGCGCAATCATTGCAACGCGAAATGGCCTCCTCTTTGCTCTTGCACGAAGTACACACAATGTGCTCGGACTCCAAATTGGAGAGATCCAGTATGTTGGTCACGATATAATCGCAAGGGAGTGCCTTGATCCCCTTGGGGCCCAGTGGTGTCTCCTGTTTGCACACGGGGCACTCGAGGAACAGAGCGGGCAGGCGGTGCAGGTGCTCGCTGCCATCGAACGAAGACGAGGAGGAGCTGTTGGGCGAGCTGGCCGCCATCGTGTCCTTCGAAACAACTGCCTGCAGGCAGTCCTCACAGAATACGTGCAGGCAAGTTAAGATGCGCGGCATCACGAGGCGTAAGCTGTGGACAAATAAGGAAACCGTTTGATTAGCTTAAAAATGCTATCACAAATTGACGATTAATGCAAGAAAATCCTAAATTGGGTTTTACTTATCGATTGTCCACTCACCTGCACAGCTTGCATAGCTTATCCCCATCCTTGATCATTAGGCCGCTGCACGAGTCCTCCAGCGAGTCCAGCTCGGTGACGCCGTGGCTGCTCAGCTCCTGGCTGCTCCCGGTACTGTCCACATCCACTACCAAACCCAGCCCCGATGAGGTGGAGTCGTCTAGCATACCGGATGGTCCTGCGATAGCTGTGGAGCCCGTCGATGAGATGGATGCCGCCGAACCGATGCTCGAAGAGCTGGTAACATCCAGACTGCCGACAGCGCTGCTGCCCTTGCCGGTGTCCGTATCGGTGGCCGATCCCGAGCAGGAACCGGTGGTGGAGCTGGAGCTGCTGGAACTCGAGCTGCTACTGCTGCTCGTGTTGCTCACATCGATGTCTTCCAGCATCGATGAGCTTGAGGCATCGTCGCTGAGAACGGTTTTCAGATTGGGAATCCCCGGGGGACACGGATCCACCGTGTCCACCGCTTGGACAGGCTCCTCCAATGTAGTCATAGTACTGAAAATGGGATAACTTTCATTAGAAACCCGTTAAAGCAGGGAAGAAATGGCAAATGTTGCAGCGAATATTTTTCTTAAATAGCTAAGCAATTAAGAAGTTATTCATTCAGAATGCAGAAAACTCACCTTCCCTTTGGCGCTTCTCTGATTTAAAAAGTGCTTGCCTTTTGTCGATACAATGGATTCCTTTTGTTTTATTGGATGGGCTGGTTTTCCCGCTTCCTGTTTCCTGATTGCTTTTCCGTGTTTCCTATCTCCTGAATCCTGATCCCTTCTTCCCTTCCTAGTCCTCCAAACTTGCTTGCATTTACTGGTGATCCTAATCTCGATCCTGATCCTAATCCTGCTGCTGCTGCTCCCTAATGTCCTGCCGATCTCCCAAGAGAGCCATTCCAATTGAGGTCCCTCCTTTTGCCACAAAAAAGGCCAACAGCAGTTCGTTTCGCCGGGGGCAAAATAAGCCAAGGACCTTCAATCCACACACACACAGACGCTCCTTCTCTTCCGCTTACTTAAAATGTATTGCAAATTTGTAAAAAATGTTGCGAGCCTCCTTTGACTTTGGGTGTATCTTTTTTTGGTTTTTTTTTTTGGTGTTTTCGATTGTTGTTGCTGATTCGCTGCTTGTCTTACTTTCCTAGGATTTTAGGTATTTAGATATTGCCGAATCGATTTAAAGCATTTGGAAACTGCGTGTTGCGGTTGATCCTGGTTGATGTGGTTCTTCTTCTTGTTGCACAAGGACGAAATAAAATTAAGGACGAACGAGGCGACGACAACAAACACTGACGAAGAACACGGCGATGCAAATTGGACGACAGCGCCGCTTCTATTGGTATTGCGAAAAATGTATAAAAGAAACAAGTTAATTGTTGGCTAAAAAACTACAAAAATACAAAAAAAAAAAAAAAAAATGAGAAATGAGAAAAAAATTTATTCTGTAACGCAGAACAAAACTAAAGAATCTAACATATTTAGATAAACCTAACTGACAAATGGGGAAAAGGCAGCTGACATTAAAGCGAAACAGGCATTTTTCAGCCAGGTTTCTCACCCAATGTATACCCTTTCTTATAAGCAGTTCAACCCCTTTTGCTAACGCCTCTGGCTTATGCAACAGCAACACACATACAAACACACACACACGCATACATACACATACACACTCGCTCACTGTGCTGCATACTTTCCGGATGTTGGCAAGGTATCTTGGCCACTTTCCGTATAAATCCTTCCAACAATAAAAATAACTACTTTAAGATTGACCATTTCCCATTTCTACCTAAAATGTATTATGCTAAATAATTATGTACACTGATTTCTAAATTAACATAACTCAGCATTGCAAATTAGATTCTGATTGTTATCACCATACTAATGAGTTATATTTTTGGTAATCATTTTGATGTACTAAGTCAGTTAAGTAAAAACAATTCTAATAATCCGTTTCAGTTGGAATATATTTCGAAGACTTTTGAAACTAATTATTGAATTACATTATTTTGTGAATTTTATCATTTCATGTTATTTCATCTGTCAATAAGAATTGTTACTTGCTTCCAATTGGACCTTAGGCGTAGTCCAATTCAGAACGCTTTGCATTTGTATAACGCTTTCCAATGAAGTCCCATTTGATTTAATATAGCCGGCAAGGGCTTCCAGGCAAAACCAATGGAAAAATTCTGGATTGAGAGTACAATGGAAATCAAAAACCTGAGAACCAACTTAAATTTCGTGCATTGTATTTGTTTATCCGATCGTCCGTTATCCAACTAATATTTATGTTAAGCGATTAAAGGGAAAATTGTGTTAGGGGATGGGGGTGTCGGTTCAGTTTTCCGTTAAGTTTACGTTACGTTTTTCGCCGTTATGTGTAGCTATGCGCCACGCACACATTAAGCTCTTCTTTGCTCCTTCTTCTTCCTGTTCTTGCTACCCGTTCACGCAGGCGCGTCCATAGTGCTGACCTTTCTAGCCATTTACTCGCTAGTTGCGCAAAAAAAAAAAAACGCTGCCCTAACAAGGACAAGCTGGGGCACAAAGTCCTTGAACAACTAATTCAATTGGGGCAAGGCAATTGCTTAAATAAATACGTTTAAATCAGCGGAAGTGTGCGGTAGTTTAAAATCTACTTTAGTTTTGTGCCCCCACCAACTCGAAACACTCTCACACACACACACACATAAACACGCTACGCGTGCGGACGCACACCCACATGGCGAATCAGCTGCATACACACAGACACAAGCGCGTACAAGCGAACACACGTGGTAAACGGAATTTAGTACCGCTTTGCCCCTTTTTTCACTGCTCTGGTTTATTTTGCTTTGCTTTATTGGACCTGGATGATTTTGTTGGTCGCCCTAACGACTTTGTCAATTCTGCGCCGCAGCTGATATTTTCCTGTCCATTTTCACGTACTTTTTGATTTATTTCACTTTCAAATGTGTGCCGCTCTCTCTCGCTGCTCGCAAACGGTTATTTTCGATAGCAAGAGAGGGAGAGCGAAAAATCGGCTATGCGAAGAAAAGTTCTCAATCCCGTTTGCATTGGTGTGCGCAAGCTCACTCAAACGCGGCAAAAAAAAAAATAAAATACGAATACGAAGAACGACACCTACACATACGGAATACAAAAAAAAAAAAAAAACACACACACATGTGAAATAAAAGCTAAATTTCCTTTTTTCAATGTGGGGATAAACACAATTCTTGACTGACCAGACAACTTGTCGCTTCGAAAGTTTCAGTTGTTGGGGGGAAAATGGTCAAGATAACACTTGATAGGGTCCAAGTGGGGGCCAATCGAAAATAGGGGGACAGCCGCCACTGCCGTTGTCCTTGAACGCAAAATTTCCACTTGACTACCGCCCAGGTGGTCGTGGTCAAAAGGCAAGCACACACGCACGCTCGCACATGCATACACACACAGACCTAACAGCAGACAGGAGGCGAAAAAGGTCCTTGAAATGCCTGAACACTTCGCTGTCTGTCCGGCGTTGTCAGCCTTTAGTGTCCAATTCGATGCGCTAACTGCCATTTCCCAACTGTCACCACCTTATATTTCAATGTAGTTTTCGTTTTCACACGTTTTTTTTCGTTCTTTTTGTTTTTTTGCTGCTCTCTTTTGCTTGTTACGTTACGATTTTATATTTGCCCGACACACACACACAGACTCGCAAAACGCAGGAACACACGAGAACACTATACAGGCACCCACACGCAGTTACAGCTACAGTTACCGTTATTCACTGAATCAGCGAATTAAGCACGTCTGGGGCACAAAAAACAACCAGAAGACCGCCAACTCGATTGGAGTCGATAATTATTGGATTAAACTAATAATTACTTTACTGCTCCCGTCGAACTTTTGTATGCAGTGCAGTTAGGGATGCTAGGTATATTTCAGTACAAATATCGATAGTTTTTTAAAAGTCTGGCCGAGTAGTGCCTTGATATCGATAGTTTTATTGAACACATTTTCTCTTTACGTTTCCTTAATATTAATTCTTATTTACGATTTTGCATTCTTGCGTAAATAACACATGACATTCATAAATAATACATTTACTTTCACTTTCTCAAAAAATATATACATAAGTCGTTTTATGTTTTAATCTTAAAAAAAAATCAGAACTTTACTTGGGATCTTTGTAATTTTGATAGATTTCCGCTTGCATACATTGTATATCAGAAAAATGGGGTAAAATTATAGGGTTAATCCCATTCCTTGTTGCGACATCTAATTTGTTCATAATATTATCTAATCTGTCCATCAATATAATCTGTTCTCTAAACATTGATTTAAACTTAACGTCGTCATTCTGCGGCGATGCGGATACGGATTTAGTGTTCTTCTCCAATAGGGACAGTTTCTGATTGAATTCTGCTGTATATTCAACGACCATAGCCTTTATTTTGACAAAAAAGTCGCTTTTAAAATATGTATGCTTCATTTTTGTCTTTTTATCCTCCGTTCTAATAGTATTTTCTCCTTTGGAAAATGCTTCCCACAAAAGTTTCAATTTGTCTAGTTGCCCTTTAAAATAAGCAGGTTTGCTTTTCCGTTCAGTTGGGCTCTTTTTATAATTCCGGATTGTGGTCTGAATCTGCTCGCCCAACTTCATTTGCTCTTCCAACAGGGAATTAATGCTGGACGATTTGACCATCGTTATTGAAATTTTCTTTAAATGGTAATAGCAGTGCTAATACTAGTGATCCTCTGTTTGGTTCTTTTTGTATTGACTTGAACTGTCGGTCTGCCAAAAGGTTTATATATATATAGGCCAGTTCTTCTGAAATGAGGTAATTTTAAGAAGAATGCGAGTCAGGTAAGTGGTATTCCCGGATTAATGTGCAGATGGGCAATTACATAGCTTTTGTTTTATGACCTTACCAGATGGTGGCAAAAACGCTGCAGGTAACCTCTTTAAATTTTATATATTTGTGTACTTAATTACGGGGAATTTTCTATCGAGCACCAGAATATTCGCGAGCGTTTTAGATAAACGCGCCAAGCAGACGTTTGGATATTTAAGCAGCTTTTATCGCGTGCAGGCGGTCACACGACGACTTTTATCGGCACACGATAGGTTTATATACACTTATCGCCTCCTTCTATCGATTACCTTTGCACGTTTCGCCGAACATTACATTTAATTTAAAAAAGCACACTTAAAAGCGCATAATTCGCGTGGAAAGCAATCAAATCATGTCCACCGTGAGCGCCGCCAGCGGCAGCAATGCCACCAGTCCGCCGGAGAACGCAGAGAACGTTCGGCCGGAGCCAATTTTCCGGGAGATCAACGCAGAGCAGACCGACGAGGTGGTGGAGATCGAGTCCGCCTGCATGAACTGCTTCGAAACGGGAGTCACCCGGCTCCTGCCCACCAAGATACCCTTCTTCCGCGAGGTGGTCCTCATGTCCTTCAAGTGTGACCACTGCGGCCACATCAACAACGAGATGCAGTCGGCATCAGAGATCCAAAAGTCCGGCATTCGCATCGAACTACAGGTGCAATCCGTTGCCGATCTCAATCGGCGCGTGGTGCGCTCGGATAACTCCAGTATCAGCATACCGGAGGTGGAGTTGGAGATCCCGGTGCAATCGCAGAAGGGCGAGGTGACCACCGTCGAAGGCATCATCGAGCGGACTATAGCCGGCTTGTCGCAGGATCAGGAGAAGCGGCGCATCGACCATCCGGAGGCAGCTGATTCCATTGAGAAGTACATCGAGCGATTGCACCGTTTGAAGGAGGTGACAACGCCCTTTCGCCTGCTCATCGAGGACATATCCGGCAATAGCTTTGTCGAGAATCCGCTGGCACCTGCCGTCGATCCGCAGCTAAAGACTTCGTACTTTACACGCAGCCAGCAACAGAACGAGCAGTTGGGTGAGTCCTCATTGTCACTTTAAACACATAGCTAATATTGAGGTGTGGTATCCAAAAGAACCCTGAAAGAAAGAAGTGATGTTACACCTAATTCCTATTGTCTCCCTTATAAGCAAGGCCGTAACACACACTTTTATTCCTTTCCAGGCCTGTACGAACAGAATCACGAAGAGCAGCACCTACTGAAGCCAATTGCCGAAGACGCGTGGCCCATTGAGAATCTGCACGGCGAGGTGCTCCAGTTCCCCACCAATTGTCCCAACTGCCAGGCGCCCTGCGAGACGAACATGAAGCTGACCAACATCCCGCACTTCAAGGAGGTGGTGATCATGGCCACCGTCTGCGGTGCCTGTGGCCACAAGACGAACGAAGTGAAGTCCGGCGGCGGAGTGGAGGCACAGGGCGTCCGCTTCCGCGTGCAGATAGTCACCAGGGAGGATCTGACGCGCGATGTGCTCAAGTCGGAGACGTGCAGCTTGTCTATACCGGAGCTGGACCTCGAGGTGGGTCCGCATGCCCTGTGCGGGCGATTCACCACCGTCGAGGGTCTTCTGGTGGCCATGCGGGATCAGTTGGACGGCACGCTCTTCCACGACTCGGCCGACGAGACGACTAAGCAGCAGATGCAGCGATTCCTCGACACCTTCGAGGATGTCATGAATCTGAAGCGAGTTATTACGCTGGTCCTGGAGGATCCGGCCGGCAATACCTACGTGCAATCGCTGAGCGATGACGATGCTGAGCCGGATGACAAGCTGGCTGTGGAGCGGTACGATCGCTCCTTTGAGGACAACGAGGATCTGGGACTGAACGACATGAAGACCGAGGGCTACGAGCAGGAGGCGTGATGAACTCTACATCCGCCATCAGTTTAAGTCGCATGAAAGTTACGGCTAGGCAGGAACGCAATTAATTCCAAATCAAATCAGTTTTTTAAAGGATTAAAAGGATGTTACTCATTTTTATAAGAAAAATTCAATGGCGAAAAATTGTATTTATCAAAATCATTTTTTTTACGGAAGTGATGAATATTAGTTTTCTGCAGCTTCTTTTAAGGAATCCTAAGTAGCCATACTATAAATAAAATAAACAAAATTATAAAAAATGTCCACAGAGCATTGAAAATATTACATCTAGTTGGAGTTCTAGAATAAATCATTTGTCAATAAGATAATTCAAAAACCTTTTTTTTTTCAATATTCAGTCTATCGAAATTTCGTCACCTGCAGCTGTGCTGCGTTAGCAACAATCGATAGAAAACGGGCCATCTCTAATCAGCTGTTTGGATTGTTCGTTGTGTAACTTAACTAAACGCGTTAAATTTTTGGTAAATATGCTAAATTGGTTTATTTGCTGCTCTCAGTGAACTAACACCCCCATCCCGTAGAGCACCAAGATGTCCGCATCCGCTGCCCGAGGCTCCACATCGCTGCTGAAGCGCGCCTGGAACGAGATTCCGGACATCGTCGGCGGATCCGCCTTGGCCATCGCCGGAATCGTTATGGCCACCATCGGAGTGGCCAACTACTATGCCAACGACGGCGACAACCGCCGCTACAAGCTCGGCTACGTTGTCTACCGCCACGACGATCCGCGTGCCCAGAAAGTACGCAACGACGAGGATGACTAAAGAGGATTTCGACCCTTCGGAAAATCCTGTCGGCTCTCATCTTTGATTTTTTTTGTTTACTCTAAAGCTAAGTAAAACAAACATCTAAATGTACTGAAGCCAGTGCGCAGTAATTCACCTTTGGCTGGGTACACTTTTCTAGGTTTTATGTTGCTTCTGTGTATCACACGTACACAAATCCACTCGACATCCTTACAATTGCATCGCTTCGGTTTTGGTAAACCAGAAGATCAAGGAGAATTAATAGATAAAATACTATATTTACTTAATTTAGAACCAACAAACCATGCACTTAAGACAAAGTTAAAAGGAAGGAACACAGCATCTGCGAGTCGTGCAGTTAGCGACGTAGACAGTTTAAAAGACGATAAAATACCACAGATCTCTAAAGATCCTTATGCGAGAATTTAAAGTGGAATTTGCACGCTATCTCCGTGTGAAAGCATTCGTGGCAGATGCCGCACTTGAAGCCCGGTCTGGAATCGCTGCTGCACTTGGCCTCGGCGGTGACAGGAGCAGCAGCTGGGGAAGAGTAAGGATTTTCATCGAGCAAGATGGCAATAAAAGCATGTACTCACCCTTTTCCGATTGGATTTTAGGCGGCACTGCATCCGCCGGCTCCGTGGGCCGTTGCTCATTCATGGGCTCCGCCCGGTGGGTTGGGGTCTGGGTTTGGGACTGGGACTGGGATTTGCTGGCTTGGCTGCGCCTTCTGCGCTGCTCGAACTTCAGGGCCACGTTGAACTCGCTGTGGGCGCCCAGCCACTGGTGGCTGAACTCGAAGGCCATTGATAGCTTCTTCACGCAGATGCGGCAGATCTGCTTGGGATAGTCATCTTCTGGATCCAGTGGAGGCAAGGAGGCGGGCAGACAGGCCGCCAGCATATCGGAAATGGGCACCATCTTGTCCAGCGCTTGGGCACTCTCATTGTAGATGGAGAGCGATTCCAGGCACTCGTTCCCGCACGTTCGACAGAAGCTCTCGAAGATGTCCATATTGGTTGTTAATTAAGGCATGAAAAGTAATTTACAATTAAAAATTTGAATTTAAATGGTTTGCTTATAAATTTGCTAAGAAATGTAATCGATTATTAATCAAATTTTTATATATTTTTTGAAATCGTTTGGTATTTTTCTTGTATTTTGGCACACCCTACAAATATTCGGCCACACTCTGACAGGCAGTCATTTTTTTTAAGAAAAGCCGGAGTGCATTTATGTTTTAATTGAATAAAATGATGTGGAAGACTCTCCTGCTCGCTGTTTTGGCGATTGGCCACTGCCAGGCGGTACTGGACACGGACGCCAACACCTTAGTTCTCCTGGACAACCTGGCCATCCGCGAGACGCACTCGATCTTCTTCAAATCGCTACAGGGTGAGTTAAAATGCCGGCTAACCTCTGACGTGGACAATGAAATATTGTGATAATGGTTTAACTTTGGGCTACAGATCGCGGATTTAAGCTCACCTACAAACTGGCTGATGACTCCAGCCTGCTGCTGTCCAAATACGGCGAATATCTGTACAAGAACGTGATCATTTTCGCACCAAGTGTCGAGGAATTCGGCGGCGATGTGAGCGTGGAGCGTTTGGCCCAGTTCGTCGATGATGGCGGCAATGTTCTGGTGGCGGGCAGCGAGAAATCCGGCGACGCTCTAAGGGAATTCGCCTCCGAGTGCGGCTTCGAGCTGGACGAGGAGAATGCGGCGGTCATTGATCATCTGCACTACGATGTCAGCGATGCCGGCGAGCACACAACCATCCTGACCTCCGCCAAGAATCTTATCCAGGCCGACACCATTGTAGGCAAGGCCAACAGGCTGGCGGATGCTGCTCCGCTGCTTTATCGCGGCACAGGACTAATTGCCGACAAGGAGAACCCGCTGGTACTCAAACTGCTCACCGCCGAGAGCACCGCCTACAGCTACAATCCCGAGGCCAGTGTCTCCGACTATCCGCATGCCGTTGGCCGTGGCACCCTGCTTATCGCCGCCCTGCAGGCGAGGAACAATGCCCGCGTGGTCTTCTCCGGCTCGCTGCTCTTCTTCTCCGACGAGAGCTTCACCACGGCCGTGCAGTACGCCCAGAGCGGTGTATTCCACAAGTTGGCCGGCAACCGCGACGTGGCCGAGTCCATAAGCAAGTGGGTATTTGGTGAGACTGGCCGCCTGCGCGTGGCTTCCGTGCAGCATCACAAGGAGGGTGAGCTGCTGCCACCGGATCAGGCGTACACCATCACCGATCCCGTTGTCTACACTATCGGCATCGAGGAGCTGGTGCAAGGCGAGTGGCGCGCCTTCAAGGCCAGCGACATTCAGCTGGAGTTCGTCCGCATCGATCCATTCGTGCGCACCTATCTGAAGCAAACGAACTCGGGCGCCTACCAGGCCAAGTTCAAGATACCCGACGTCTATGGCGTCTACCAGTTCAAGGTGGACTACGATCGCGTGGGTTACACGCACCTATACAGCACCACCCAGGTGTCGGTGCGTCCGCTGGAGCACACGCAGTACGAGCGGTTCATCCCGAGCGCCTTCCCCTACTACACCAGCGCCTTCTCCATGATGATCGGCGTGTTCGTCTTCTCGTTCGTGTTCCTTCACTTCAAGGATGAGCCCGTGGGAAGGGCCGCCAATCAGGACAAGAAGTCGCAGTAGTCTGCACGTTCATTCAACTAAAATGTAACACACATTGCACTAAAATAAAGTTCTCCGCAGGGATACACCCATAATCCATCAAAGAACTTGGTTTTTTTAATATTGAAACTATTAACTTTATGAGATGCCAGATCGGCTTAAGGAAGTTTCGTTTCCCTTTAAACTTGCAGAGTTCAATTCAACAAAAAAAATAATTATGTACATACGTATTTGTAATTTGTATGTTACGAAATGTAAATGTAGAAAAGTTATGCTATCAAAGAACAGAACCAAAAGGTTTTGCCGCGCATGGTTTCATTAGTGCAATCGAAATGTAATCGAATGCTATCGAAAACCCCGACCACCCCTAGCTCGAAACGAACCGATATCATTGTGAAAATTTCTCTCGCCTAAATTTGTTCGTTCTCGTGGTAAAATTGAAAATTCGTGAAAAATAAATTAGTCCGTGTTAAACGGTGAGTTTTTTTTTTTATTACTGAATAGTTATAAGCGTGGTTCTTGCAACGCCGGTGCTTGTGGACGCTAAATGTGTGTGTGCGCTGTTCTAATATTTTTTTTTCGTTGTGTATCGCCAGAGTTAATGTTTTTCCGTTTTGGGGCTCCGCCGGCCGTCCAGCGGAGCCCTATTTTTCACCGCACACACACAGGCGCACATTCGCTGGTGGATACATACACAAATGCACGAAGATGTGAGAGGTCTCGCATTCGCACGACTGTTGGTTGCATTGTTGTTGTAGTTGTAATGGTGAGGTGCGCTGTTTTTTTTTTTTCCAAAATGGCCGCCAAGCAGGAGAATAGCAACAAATAAAAGAGTTGCAGTGGTTGATGAAATTAGCAAAACAAAAAAAAGCGATTGCCAATGTGCGAAAACTGGCGCCAAAAATTATGAGTAATCGTATTTATGCTGGCTGGCATAAACAGATAAAGTAATTTATTTATTTATTTCTTAAGTGGCACGCGAGTGGTTGTGTGTGTATACTAAACACACACACTAGTTAACAAATGCAAATGTGCATGTCTGCGCTTGTCATGCGCAGCGGTTGCCCCTCTCTTTCCCTCTGCCAGTTTTTCCCGCATGTTATTGCATAATTGTTTTTATTTTCTTTTTCCTTTGGCATTCTCTTTTGTGAGGATGTGCAGCTGTCACATCTACACACACACACATGCTGGCTGGCGGAGAAACGACGCAATTAACTGCTAGCACACCTCTCCTCTCTTTCTAACGCGAACATGCCCCTATATGCATCTCCCTCCAACTTGCCGCCTTTTAATGCGCGCCAAGTTTTTACCGCTTGATTTTCCTTCTTTTTGTTTATGTTTACTCTTTTGGCGCTTCCATTCCAAGATTTTTCCCCTTTCCTCAGATTCCTTTTATTTTATGTTTTCCTCTTGCCTGAACAAGAAGTAATTATAAATTGGAAACTACAACTCATTACTTCAACGTGATTGATTCCGCATAAAGCGCAAAAAAAAAAAACTTAAGAGGTTGTACACAAAAAGAAGGGGAACACAAAAAACAGCGACTCACGATGTTTGTCCGCAAAAGAAAAGAAATGAGATTTCAAGAGGCTCTCCATCGTGGAACGTTTACACAGCGAGAAAACAGCGAGTTATAATACCACAACACATCTAATTACGAACTAGATTTATTCATATTGCTATTTAGAACGGATAATTTGGGGGTTGTACATAAAAACACTTTGTATTCTCAATAAAAAGTTTTTAATAATAGGTAACTGACTGCAGTTAGCTGATAAATTACTCAGGTTGGTGTGCCAATAATCGTCATAGCTAAGCTTCGTTTGCGTACCAATATAAATATGGATCACACCATTATTTTGCTGTGTGTATGCCGCCGAGCACGATTTTTTCCTTTGCCACTCAAGTGGAAGTTTCTCGAGTGCTGCGTTCCTAGAAGATGGGAAAATATTTCAAATGGGAGGCAAGGAGGAAAAGCAGGCAGCTGTCTCGACGAAATTTCACGTTCAACCCTTGTTATCGTTGTGACCCCAAACCAAAGTTCCTCGTCAGTTGGCCGCCAGCGCTTCGGCGCTGTGCATCGGTCCTAATTTTGGCTCCCCGCCATATCCACCCGTGTATATCAGTCAGAGTCCGCACATTGCCCACAAATCCTGGCCAATTGCACCGTGCACTGCGCCTGTGCTGGTCGAAAAGTTCTGAGTTTGTGCCAAGTTCGTGGCATTCGAGTTGTCTATCTCATCTGGAGAGGATCAGCGTCTTTATTTTGGGTAACAGCCACTAAATTTATATTCACTAAATTGAGTGATTGGCGCATTAGGATTAACCAGAAGTTGATTTAACAATTGTGAACCTGGAAAGCCCACATAATCTAACATTTGCTTTTTCATATTCCTGCCATTGCAGTTAAAAAAAAAAAGGTAAGAAAATATGGCCCGTACTAAGCAGACCGCTCGTAAGTCGACCGGAGGAAAGGCTCCTCGTAAGCAGCTGGCCACCAAGGCTGCCCGTAAATCGGCGCCATCCACCGGCGGAGTGAAGAAGCCCCATCGTTATCGCCCCGGAACTGTGGCTCTTCGTGAGATCCGTCGTTACCAGAAGTCGACCGAGTTGCTCATCCGCAAGCTGCCCTTCCAGCGGCTGGTTCGTGAAATCGCCCAGGATTTCAAGACCGATTTGCGTTTCCAATCGGCGGCCATCGGTGCCCTGCAGGTGAGAAAGTGGGTTTAAAAGATGAAGGAGACTCATGGAGGTTTACCTTAATTAAGAATGCTACAGAAAGAATTAGGTGCAAGGGATATCAAAACAAGTTTAAAGGGATGCTATTTATTTTGAAGAAAATTGATTTCTATGTTCCAAATATTCGCTAAAATTCGTATGCATTTCTCTTACTCACAGGAAGCATCTGAGGCATACCTTGTGGGCCTCTTCGAAGACACCAACTTGTGCGCTATCCACGCCAAGCGCGTGACCATCATGCCCAAGGACATCCAGTTGGCGCGTCGCATCCGAGGCGAGCGTGCTTAAGCTGGATCACCTGGGCCGGATTCGATCACTGTCGTCCATCCCCGAACAGCAGACCATTTTGATTTACATTTTGTTGAGGGAGAGGAGCCGCCCGCCAAGGAGCTTCACCAGCGACACATTGATCCAATCTATCATTCATATTTATATGTATACATTTATCATCCTTTTGTTGTTCAATCGGATCGTCAGAGTGGCGATGTCGATGCGAGAGACACCACACACAAAACAACACACAACATTACTGTAATGCTTAAAAAATATTTGTAACTCTTATTATTACTATTATATATTAGTTATTAGGTTTTTTTTCTCGCCTGTGTGTCGACGGTTGGATCGTGTACGCTGTGCCGTGCTTCTTGCCCTCCGAATCCGGGTCCACCTCTTCGATTTGGAAGGGCATTCACCCGGGCGGCCGACATCGCCTGTCCGCCTGCAACATCCGCCACCAACAACTCCAACAACTGTCCAGCTGGTGGGCTTCGATTTCCAGGAAATCCGTGATCTTTAAGGCGCCTGTCTCGTCTTCTTCTCTTCGATCAAGGAGAGGCTCACCATCTGGCTGCCGGGATGAGCGGAGTCTGGAGATTGGGGCCAATCAAACGCCAGTTGGACGTGGCAAGGTGGACAGACGGCGACGGACTGCCTGGCGGGGATTCCCGGATCTCTGGATGGGCGGCGAGGGCATGGCCATCTGGCGATCCCACCGACGGCACGCGGTTTTTATGAAGATGATATCCATATATAACACCGAAGACCGAATCGAGTACACTTAACTTTACACTTACGTATATGCGTATATATACATAAATACATACATATATGTATACATATATACATTATATATATATATATAAATCTATATGGAAGCAAAAGCACTAGACATTAATACTCTCTTTTGTTCACCTTTCGTTACTGCAAATCATATTCAGAGCATTATATATATAGAAGTTATATATATATATATACATATAACGAAGGGATGGGCGTGACAGAGTTAGTTGATTAAATAAGATTTTAGATTTACATGCATTTTGTACGTTTAGGCGAACGATGTCGAAGAAGAAGAATCGGGAGTTGAGAAAAGATATAAAGATGATTCAGCAATCAAATTAAAATACGCATCTATAGATTTGGAAGAGCATCGAATAAAAATAATCAAGATATAAACATATAACAATACACAGCAAAAGCCGAGCAGAGCATTGAATATTTCCCAATATTTACATATATGTAGTTTGATACTCATGCAAAATAATCAATTGTAAACGCCCATAAACATGCATATATATATACATATACTTGTAAATTGGTGTCGATAACTAGTTTCACATTGAACATTTAAACAAATCGGACTAAATATGTGTCTATATCGTATCGTCGTAGCTTACAAGAACCAATAAAAAGATCCGAAAACAGAAAACGAACCCCACACAACACAGAAACAATCCAAAACAAAAAATCAGTGACAGCAACAGCAAAAATAACTTGAAACATCAGCAAAAAAAAAGAAAATAAAAAATAAACGGTTTTTTCTATAGAAGAAACCAAAAAAACCCAACACCAACAAATTGTTTTATTTTCTGCGAAAGCGGGACGGAAATAGTGTGTGTGAGAGGAAGGGGGAGAGGTGGTGATGGTACAGTTGTACAGTTGACTCCAAAAATCGACACCAAACGTCATTCGCTTTGTTTACGTGTGCTAATCTCGGTGCGTGTGTGTGTGTATGTGTGTGTCTCAGTCGCTCGTTTCTGTGTGCGTAAGTTTGGCTGGCTGCATCTGTGTGTGTGTGGGTGGCTGCGCTGCCCCCTTTTTTGTTTGTCTTTGATTTGCTTTTTCAAGGCTCCAGTAAGTGGCGCCATCTAGCGGTGGTTCTGTGGCACGGGCACCCAATAGGTGTTAAGCTAAGGCACACAAGAGGGGTTAAGGGCTAGTATCTATAAAATATATTTAAGAATATACATTAAAATATAAAAATATATTTGCTAAACTCCACGTTACTAAAATTGTTCTTTACTTTCTTTCGTGTAAATATGGTTATTACTCAAGTAGCGACAAACAAAATACCCATGTAAATGGCAAA